ACCACCACCACCACCACCACCACCAACACCACCACCACCAACACCACCACCACCTCCGCGTCCGCCGCTACCACCGCCACCACCTCCGCCTCCACCGCCGCCACCTCCGCCACCTCCGCCACCGCCTCCGTCACCGTCGCTCTTGCGACACGGGGATCGTACTCGGTGCGATCTTGCGCTTGCGCTCTTTTCGCGCCTCTACGGCTCCCTCGACTACTGTTTCGCCTCTAATGACTGAACGCCTGTCAACTTCGCGCGAGACAATATCTATGTATGGTCTATTTAACATACAAACGCCTTTTAAACTTACCAGTCTTGTTTACGAGTGGATGGTGCATAAATAGCGGCCACCGCCTCTCGATGCATTGCTGCTCCTTAACAATTTCCTTTTCGCGGCTTGGCCATTCTATGTATAACTACGGATTGAATTTTCTTGTCACCGATTGTTTTATTGCACCTTTACAAGCTCATTGTGTGGATGGCTTGCGTAACGAGCTATTGAAATTATGCGAGCCTATGCCGCGGAATATTTGAAGCGAGAACCGCCACTTTTATTGCCATGTACATCGAGTACGCACATTCTCTGTCGCACTATCAAAATTACAAGAATTATGTCATACCGAATAGCTTTTGCGCAGCGCCTTTCGTTCGTTTGTGTTTGTACACGAGACCATTTATCCGGGATCCTAACGCGTCTACGATTTTTTTTTTTTACGATAGGTTTGTCTTTTCGAAATAATTATCTCTTTTAAATTTCTCGCTAATAAATGAAAATTAGATGTCGTGAGCGCGAAATCTCATCACAGTGCACCTTGTGACTGATGAAACTGAAATCATTCAAGTTTCACAACAAGTATAATATGCACAAGATAGTATGTGTTCCATTTGCATTTATTTATACTACATTACATTAGTTGTTATTTATAATATTTAATATGAGATCCAGGCATCGTATAAACAAGGATTAATTCGATTTTTGCGAAAAAGCAATGAAAGGAATATAAGCAAAGCGTATGCTTTTTTAATCAAGTTCGACGCGACTTTAACATCCATTCGATTTAATACACAAATAATAGTTCCGAGTAATTTTTTTTCTTTTTTTTTTTTTTTATAAACAAAATAATCTACCAATACAATTCGCCATGCTTGAAATCCATTATGTAAGTAATCTAAATTGAAAAAGAAAATTTAATAAATAATATACTTGAAATAAATCGAGTTATAATTATATCATTGACGTTATTTATTCATTAATATTTGAATTCCGATAACACAAGAAAATGCAATTAATACGCGTTAATATAAAAAATTTATCAAGATTAATTTCATATATAATATACACGTATGCAGAATCGTGCGCCTGGAGTTGTAGTTGAGAAATCAAACTGTTTTACTCAACTTTTATTACGATCGAGAAATAGTTAACTGAAAATCTTAAGCATCTCAATCAGAATTCTACACAAATCATTCGATGAAATATGTACTTGCGAATAAAATTATTCATCACACTTGATCCAATACTCCCCTCTGAATTATACAAAAGATAAACAAGTTCGACGCTTAAAATACATTCGTGGAAATGCATTAATTTTCACGTACAATGGGCCTTAATGTTATATCATATAGTTTGAAATTATCCAGTTTAAAAGATTATTGTTGCCGCAACGATGATTTATAATAACATTTAAATTTAAGAAACATCGAGGTCTACATTAACATCAGGCCATTATTAAGATCATTCCAGGTGTAAAAGATGATATAATAATAATAATAATAATAATAACAATAATAATAATAATAATAATAATAATAATAATAATGATAATAATGATAATAATATTATGACGAAAACACATTAGCAGTTACGTTAATAATCAGTCGCCTTAGTAATATTTCACGTTGCAAGTGAAACGCATTGCAATTAAATAGCGTTGGAAGCAAAAATTATCCGTTACAACAACCGCACTTATTGTTACAGTAGCACATATCACTGTGAAAAATGCCATTGCTTTTTAGTACTCTTAACGCTACTACGAATTGGGCTATTGCATTTCAGTTTTACAATGCTCATTTCGAAGAAGTTTGTTCATAAAAATGTAATGCCTGTTAAATTACGTTTTACGCTCTCTAGCTGATTATCGTGGGGATTACAAAAGTGTTTGTATAAACTAACGAAAGCCAAAAATGGCGACTATTCGTTGCGTACGAAAATCGCGAGCGCACAATCGAAAGTACATCGAGATTAACCAGTTATCGCTTTTTGCCCAACTGGTATTTGAAAAAAAAACGCGAGATTTGTCGAATCGGTCTGCCATTTTTTCCCATTCGTCTTTCCCAATAAAAAAATTAAAATATCATAATAATTGTCAGAACAGGCAACAGCCTCGCTCGATCTCCCGGTTAAGCGATTATCCTCCCAAGCGATCGTATGTCACTTCCGCCTCTCTTCTTCGCTCGTCTCTAATCGCGCGTGCACTTTCTCTCTATCCCCCCTCCCCCTTCCCTTACCATATCAAGCACCACCTCCTCATCATTCTCCTCGTCCTTCTGTTCCCCCTCAACTCCACCCGTCTGCTACGAAAGCCAATTCACTCCCAGACGTCGGCCACCACTGACCGAGGAGAGCCACGAGCTCCCCATGCGCAGTTCCGCCGTCTCTCGGCGAGTTGTCCAGCCTCGTGGTCCGGTAATTGCATGCGAACCCTCGGGAAACGGCGCGAGAGCCCGACACACATCAAAGGCGAGCATCCCGCTGCCCCACAACCAAGTTGAAATTTTGAAACGTGCGAGTCCCTCATCCTCCCCCCCCCCTCACTCCCACACTGCCACAGCCAGCCGCACCCACCACTCGGTCCTCGTATCTTTATCAGCCAACGAATCTTCATTCGAGTCCTCGAAAAATCAATGCTGCATTGAAACGAGAGTCCGCGCGCCTATGAGACCTATCGACTTTGTAGATGTCGTTGGATAAATAATCTTCAGATGCGACTGAATTACTTTTCAAACGACGCGCAATACTGTATAGGATGCCCGACCTCGTCTCTCTCTTGCGCTATTCATTTTCTTTAAAGGAGAAATTGCCGTATAATAATACCAAGGTACTTATGCGCTTGCTTGCTCAATGACGCGCGAAACTTTTATCGCGTAAAATACGGGTATGCAAATATGCTGATGTGTATGTTTTAAGTGAATGTGCTACGTTCCTTTGATCTTATTTTTTTCTCATCATTCATTTCTTATATGTTTTTCTGTCTCTCTCTCTCTGTCTCTCTCTCTCTCTCTCTCTCTCTCTCTCTCTCTCTTCCTTTTCGTTTTTCATTTGTTTTTCTTTTTTATTTTTTTTGTTTTTTATTTTTTGTTTTTGTTTTTGTTTTTGTTTACCAACAATTGCGCTGCAACGTAGGATTATAAAAGAAGTTAATTTAAATTTATCGACTAGTCTCAGATTTTCGATTAATCATCGTCGTCCGTTGGAGTTGGCACTCCACTTGGCGGTAAAGAACATCACCGACTCGATTCGAGTGATTGACGCTTAAATCAGTCCGAGAAATTGCTCTATTCCAATAGTAAATAGTTGGAGGCATTCGACATTATGAAAGCCTAATGTTGTTCGCTCAGTCGCTGAATCAGCCGAAATAACTTACATCTTCGAAGTATTTGTTAAAAAGTTGGTCGTCGGCCTATCGACGCTGCCGGCAATCACGCTCCCGAGTGTCCCATAAACCCATTTCGGATAAGAGCGGCATTTTCCGCGAGAAAATTAGCGAATAATCGACGAGGCAAAAAAGCGCGTACCTGTAAAGAATGAAAACTTTCACGGAGCGGAGCGCGCGCAAGTGGCACGAGTCCGATTCCCGAACGGGGAAATGGGAAAACCCGGCGGCGGGAGGTGAAGGCCGGTCGATCGCGCCCCAAGTCCCGGGCAGCGACTCCCCCCGAGGCGAAGATTACACGGGGCTGGGGGCGTCCGCGCGATGACGTTCGCCGGAGCTTTCTAGGCGCAACCGGTTTTTGCCGGCGATCGAGATTAATGCGCGAAAGCGATCGCCCGCTCGCCCGAAAATCGCGGGGCCGGTGCTCGCCCACTTTCACCACGGCCCTGGTACTACTCGCGGGCGGAGCGGGGAAAGCACGGGAGCAGCGTTACCCGAGGGGGGAATTAATGGGGCCGCGCGGCCAAACCGGGTCCCCGATCACGGAAGTGAAAGTCGAATTATCGGCGGAAAAGCTTCGCTCGCGATTGAGCGAGGAGGAGGAGGAGGAGGAGGAGGAGAAGGGTGAGGGGGAGGTGGTGAGGGAGGGTATCAGAGCAGGGGGGAGTGTATAGGAGTGAATAGGGAGAAACGTTCGCGCGAGTGTCAGAACGGTCGGGCGCGTAACCGCGCGCCTCCCGGCGATTTCGAGGCCGCCAGCCTCTTATCGGCTCTATTAACAAA